CACACACGCGGACATTTTCCAAAATATTGGGACGATCCTAAAAAAAGTTTCTCTTTGAGCAGAAGAATGTCACAGGAAATGTCATATCATTGGCACTACTTCCATTATTTCCCCATCAAAAATGCCATCACACCACGTCAGTTTTGCTTAAATAATTACAAAATAAGAATATTTATCGTCAAATAATTGTTTTACTGTTATTACATTGTTACATTTTGATTGAAAGCTTTCGTGACTGCAGGGATTCATATTCTAGGTTCTTTCGGTAAAGTCACGTAGAAGGGAAATAATAAAATAATAAAAATATTAAACAATAAAATTCTCACGACGTTTAGATTTATTTTTTCTAATTTTCTTGCTGTGGGTTTCACACCTGTTGATGATTGCTTGTGTTGCAAGCTAAACGTCATGATTAATTTATTGTTTTATATCTTTTTTATTTTATTGTTTTTCTTCTACGTGACTTTACCGAAAGAACCAAGAATATACATTATTACAATTAGCAAATTAAGTGATCACATTGAAATATTAAAATATTAAATTCTATTTTTTCAATCCAACATCTAGAACATTTAATGTGAAACTCTACATAGCAGGCGCACACCTGCGGGGCTTCACACCCTTGTTTGCGTAATGGCCACAAAGACTTACACGTGGCATGGTGAACCGGAGCTCTACCATCTGACTGTTCAGCAGCATTCGTTCAAGCAAGCCTGATGTTGCTGATGCTGTGTGTCAAAACCGGGAAAGCGTTTTCTTGTATTGCACCATTGCTGCTGAAATAATGTACACTTCCAGAAGGCCTTATAGTTGATGGGCAGGATAACAAATACAATGTTTACGTGGAGGAACAGATACAAGGAGGAGACGAATTGTCTACTTATTTATTTTGTTGCTAATAGACAACGTTCTTAAAACCCTAAATGATCACAAGTGTCCATAATACTCGGTACAGAGTGCAATTAATAATGATAATTATTGTGTGCAGCAGAGCACATCTACACGCTAAAGCACAGCGGCTTGTTGTTTACACACACCGTTGGGCTCCGTAACTCGCACTGATACACAAAAGCGTATTTGTTTTTCAGATGCCCACTGAGTGCACGCACATGATCCTAAACTCATGAGATCGGGCCAGATGCAAAAACACTCGCCCTTGAGTGGGCACCCACACCGCCCGCCCCTGCATTGACGGACATGCGAACGGGCATGAGCACGCGCGCTCTCCTAGATGCTCACGCTATACAAGCGCAGATGCACGCCCGCGCGAATTCACGCACGGGTGCCCATCCACACTCCACGCCCCTTTACACACAAGCGCACACAGTCCATTTCGCTCTCCATCACGCTTACATAATAAAACACGTCTTCACGAGCCAGATTTAACGACAAACCAAACATGTCATTTTTGCAAAGGTGAAAGCTGTGCATGGGATGTTTTGTTTTTTTCCCCGTTCTCATTTGAAATGGCACCGAATAACACAGACGTCCGATCGTTACAGGGTCAAAAGCTGGCGGTGAGCTTGGCTAAAGTCGGCATTGAGACGACGCTCATCACAGACGCTGCTATATTTGCGATGATGTCCAGAGTTAACAAGGTAATCAGCCCGCACTCCCAAGCCCTTGTGACGCTCGCGTCGATGAGCAATGCAAACAAACGCCTCGGCACACCGAGTGGTAGGACAGCATGCGGCTCCACGTTTAAGTGGCTTTGTTAAAATGCAAACCCTATGGGTGGAGGCATTTAACGATGCATCGATTCAAATTCTCTCTCATGCTCACGTTGCATGCATGGTGGATACATGCATCAAATGTCACGTGTAAGAATCTATTACTTACCATTAATGCTGATATGCTATTGCATGTTAGATAATCAAGTGAACGTTACCGTACAAACGAGTCGGGAGAAAAATGATTAGATATGGAAACAATACGGGGAAAATGATCAACATGCTCTGGATTATTAAATGGGACCGTGACCCCATATCGTAACAATTCATCGCAGCACTGGGAGGGTGAGACGTTACGTGTCTAGATGACGTTGCTCAACTCATACCCCCGTTGCCATTGTTATTGGCCTTTGCTGCCGGAGCGGAAAACTTCTTTCAGTTGAATATTCATGAGGGTTGGAGGCCTTCTGTCCTCGGTGGGCCTTTGTAGGACGTTCTTCGCACCGATTGAACATGCTGCCCGCTGCCATGCGCAGGTAATCCTGGGGACGCACACGGTGCTCGCCAACGGGGGTCTGAAGGCCGTGAACGGCGCTCAGACGCTCGCCCTGGCCGCCAAGCACTACTCGACGCCGGTCATCGTGTGCGCACACATGTACAAGCTCTCGCCGCAGGTACGTGCGCACCTACGCACGACCGCACGCACACACGCACAATCCTTTCCGGCAGCAAGTGCGAGCGGAGGCTTTACCCGACGTCGACTTTAAAAGCTGATGCACCGCAGCCCGTGGATAACAGTTCCGTTTGCTTTTGTTTATTTTTCCCAATTTTACTTTAATTTTTATTCCAATTGGATCACCAGTGTTATGTCCATAATATGAAGCAATTGTCACAGCTAGTGGCAATGTTGGAGAAAGGTCTTTGCAGATGTCATGGAACTACTTCTGACATATCCCTTTTACAAGTTCTCAAGAATGCAAATCTCACCTCTAACCAAAAAAAAAAATCGGAATTTCCGGAGCTCGAATTAACTGAATTCAACACCCAAATGTGTTTTTTTGTGGAGTCATTGGTGACCAGACTTACTCACTTAACTTATGAACATTGTTTTATTATTGATGACTGCCCAGATTCAAACCCAAGATGTGAGCAGTGCAGGCTCGTTGCTCTGATGGTCTGACATAGTGCTGGCACGCCGAGATACTCAGCCACGTCTATAATTCTATTTTGAGAAGTTCTGAACACGATCGATGAGGCTTCAAGGGTGGTCAGCTTCAGCCAAGTCCAAATATCCCTGTCAGCTGAGAATCTTTACATTTGCACCTCCGGATTTGCAGGTCGAGACAATTTTTTGACCGTTACAGTTCATGTTGACACACTCCTTACAATAAACCTAGGTTTTGTCAGGCTGTGAAACAAAAAAAAAGACGTTTGTCATTGTTCTGAGCACTCACCGCAAGAAATAAATGTTTTTTTTTCTAGTTTCCGAATGAACACGACGCGTTCCACAAATTTGTCTCTCCCCAAGAGGTGCTGCCTTTCTCGGAAGGTGAGTGCCGTTCTGTGACCCAGGTGCCCATGCTGTCAGCACAGAGCCCGCAAGAGCAACAAGAGAGTTCCCACTGCCAATTTGCACATTGCTCTGCTGGAGGAGGAATGGTAAAAAAGTGCCGGACTTTTAATGAAAACAAAAAGCACCTATATAAATGGAAAAATATTTAGACCCATACATGTTTTAGTTCAGCGTCAGCTGAATGCGCCATGAAACATTTGCAATTAAATCATCCTTGAAATACATTTTAACAACTTAATTGGCAAGTGATTGGTGAGCTCAATATTTTGTTTCAAAGAACCTATAACTTCAGCAAGAACATAAGGAGTGCATTATCTCCTGTAACCATTAACGACCCCATTCCAGCGCGTGGCATTGTTCAAGAGATTAATGGTGATGTCGAGGGTTGCTAGCCATGCTATCTTCAGGAGAGAGCTCGTGCTTTTGCTTTTCCTCCATTGAAGGAACGCAGACTACATTGGTTTACTTGTACGGGTCCATAGTTTGGGTTGCATGGCCACACTGACACTGGCTTGTCTTTAGATAATTATCCATTAACTAAGGAGTGCGCATCAGCCTGCTGATGATTTCATTCGCGAGAGTGGGTCATTGTGTCACAGCGCTGACCGTCAGTCCCAAATTTAACATTTACCCCAGCTTCAGATTGGTAAAGGAATATACAAGGTATTCATTCTTACAACCTTAACAAGGTCTCCGATGAGTCCGGTTGGCTACGTATGGTGCGAAAGAAGTTCAACAGACATACAAAAGACCCGGTGAATTCCAGTAGGCCCTCCTCACATGCCAATCACTTTCAAAGGCAATGCATGTATATCATCAGAGCATGTTTGTTTCCATGTTCACCACAAGTGTGGTTATATGCAGACCTGATTCCTTGCGAAAGCTATCTAGTTGGTGTTGGAACATCTTAACACACCTGTTTTATTTCTAGAAAGGGTAAAACCTATTTTTATTTTGCATAGCTCACCTGTTCGAGCGAGGGGCACTGTTGTGTGTCCCCGTGTCCTTGCAGGCGAGATCCTCTCCAAGGTGAGCGTCTACTGTCCTGTGTTCGACTACGTCCCTCCCGAGCTCATCACCCTCTTCATCTCCAACATCGGGGGCAATGCGCCTTCCTACATCTACCGCCTCATGAGCGAGCTCTACCATCCGGATGACCACGACCTGTGACCCGTACCTTTACGGAAACCGAGAAGTGCAAAACTCCACCGCGCGTTTGTGCGCCGCGAGTCATCGCTCGCCTTCACGGAGCTTGATCTTTCCTTGGGTGTCCCCAGCCACTGATTTACGCAGGATAAATCTAAAAATAATTTTGTTTTGCGTTGGCCATTACCTGTGAAGCGTGTTTCGCAATTGAGAGGTAACCTGCACCCGCCGGAGAAAACCCCCACGCATACGAGGGGGGTGACAGCGCTGCCATCTTCCTGGCCACCTCGAAGCCGCACCCATTCAACAACGCTTGGCAAGCCACGGTGTTTACCCAACCAAGGATCAACACGGGCACCGCCGCAGTTACGATTTAAGTCTTCGCCGCCTCATGCCCTCGGCTGAGATGCTCGTTAGACGAACGTCCCGCGTGCGACGTGAACGCGCTCGAACGGCTTCGCATTTCAAGGCATCGGTGAGCACTTGCACGCAAGTCAGATGTGGCACGCGCCGAGGAGACGCGCCCTTCGGTGGAGTAAACCATCACGCACGTCGCAAACCAATACGTGGACACGCACACAAATATCGCGTTCGTGTAGAGTGTGACGAAAATAAAAGAGGAAAAACCATTGGACTTGTGGGACTTGGATTTCTTTTTTGTGTAAAGCACTTTTATCTCCTCACAATATCACAAACATATTGCACAATGTTACAGTATGTATATCGTTTGTAATATATAAGAAGTGGTAATGGCTAACGGTGCGGTAACAATATTGACGACAAATCAGCGTGTTGAGGGGGGAACGTTTGTTTTTAACAACTAGAAAAGACTGCAGGCGTCACAGATGTCCCACCGCCCTACCCTACCAGTCGGGCACAACAGCATGCACTTTCCCCAAGACCCACAAAAACACCACCCAACTTCACAGCTTGCGCGGAAGGATTCTTTCCCGACCGGAGCGACAAGACGAGTGTGTTGAGGACCCCGCCCGTAGTTTGACTTTTAAAAGAAAATAAAAACCACGGGGCGTCGTTAAAAATAAAAACAACGGCAGCGGATTGCAGCGGCGAGAGGCCGGCGCCTGACGGATCGAACTCCTCCCGCAGCGTGACCATTGGGTCGGGTGAAGCGGTCGAGGAGTCGAGTGGCCCGTTTTGTTTGTTGGCGAGCTGTCGCGAGGCGACAAGGAATGAAGCGAGCGGCGTGTCGCTCAATTGGTTTGAGAGGGGAACGAAGCCTGCCAGGGATGGAGGACGTGCCCGGTCGTCCGCCTGGACCTCTCCGCTCACGCAGACCTCGTTGGCAGCACTTGCGACCGTTTTCTGCTCTGCAAAAAAATGCCGTGACCTGAAATTTGAGCAAATCGCCGGCGTGGCGATGGAAACTTCCAATCGGATCATCACCAGAGGTCGCCTGACTACCCGAGGGGTTGTGTGCACTCTGGAGAGCATTCGTGAAAAAAACACACACTTGCACAAACTCTGTTTTTCATCGGCCATACAGAACCCGTCACACTGTGCCACCGCCGTACCCAGTTGCCGTAGTTGCTCCTAGTAAATGCCCATTTACTGGTGGCCACCGTTGCCCTAAAATCGACTTTTGAGACACGCGGCCCCAAGCGCCTTCCCGTCGTCGTTCGCCGTGGCCGTCGCTCCGTCCTTCCGATGGTGACCGTGCGCGGCGTGGCGGGTTCACGCCACGTTTGTTGCTCGCCGCGCTGTCGCTGCGTGCACCTCCCGGGGGGTTTACACGTTTTTCATGGGGACCCGTGGGCGCTAGCGATCTTTGACGGAGTGATTACGCGAAGGGCGCTGGTTGTACCGGGTTGGGAGAATACAAGGCCCTTGGAAAAGCTCCGTGTCGTGAGAAGTCCAGAACACCGGTGGTTATTGCGGAAGTTACTCGGCAAATGATCATGATTGATCGCTTCAAGGATTGATTTGCAGCGAATTAAGCGCCTCGAGTGGATGCACTGGTCGTACGAACCCGTTACGTGAAACGCGTACATTGAAAAAACCGTGATGTCACGTGATTGTACACGTGCGTCCTGCAGGTGCGACCGAAGCATAAGTTAATCGCCAAATCGATGCATCGGTTGGTATTTACCAACTCCACATTTCAATCAACTACCAGTATGCGCCAGCATGCATCACCAAGAACTGACCGACAGTCCTGAATCTGGATGAAAGTCCATCGAAGCAGAACATCTTCACTCCAGCAAGTTGCCTTATCTAGTGGGTTTCCATTGCTGGGAGCGCTGTCATAAGAGCATGCATTAATTTTGCGGATGGACTTGAACATGGAACATGACCTTTGTGGTTATAGCCTCATTGTGAGTGGAAATCTGTGCCTGGCAAAGTCACCATCGGGAAGACTTATAATATATTACATCAACGGTAATACGAGGACAACCACAAATTAACGCACGGTTACTAAAAACCCATTCATGCGTTACACATTTACCATACGACATTCAGCATTGCCTCTCATACTTAAGCTCGCCAACGCATGGTTTTCATCATTTTGGTTGTATTTTGCATATTTTCTTTAAACGCTACATACGAAACTCGTTTCATTCCCCCTCCCACCCACACCCCCTTGATAACGACGCAGGGCGGAACAAACGCGGAGCAGTGCCCAACTCTGCAAAACCTCGATCTGTTGTAATAATGATGATAATCATCAGAACAAAAATCCACGCCCGACGCCAACACCTTGAGCAGGCGGTCGCCGCGCGCCCGCGAGGGCAGGAACGGTGAGGCCGCTGAACACAGCGAGCGCACGTGGCCGAACACCATGAGCGCACGCCGCCGTTCTGGCCTGAGAAACGATGTCGAGCGGGAAGTGGGAAGAAGCAGAGACGCGAACCACAACGCACGGCGGCAGCCACGCTCCGACCATTCACGTCATGGGGAAACGCAGTGCGGTGAAGACAGGCGGGGAAGGGGGAGAAATAAACCTCAACTCGATTATCCGCGGGCAGATTAACGGTCCCCGTTTGCGTCTCTCGCACGCTTTGTATTTTTTGCGACTCCTTTCGATCGTCGAGGGGGTCTGGGGGACTGGGTGCCCGTGTGACCGCAATCACGTCGACGACAGAACGGGTAGGTCCTTGTCCTCGCGACCCTTAACGGTTGGCAATGGACACAATGGCTTTGCCAAATTGACACGGATTCTGCGTTATTCCGTCTTTTTGTTTAATCCGTGTCGCCCGCCGACGCTCTCCTGCTCCCCCATAAACCGCAGATAATCGAGGGGGCGGTCGCACAAATAAATAAAACAAAGCGATTGTCTAAACTGGACGACAGTGAAACGTGACAATAACATCACGGTTAGGGGAGTGATCTACAAAAGGAAAGTGCTGAAGTCAAGGCTTCGCTCTGAGAATTCCATCAGTGTAAGGGCAGCCTGTGCTTTATTGTAGGACACAATGGGGGCTAAGTGGAAGCCACAGAAACACTCGGGGTGGGGTGGGGGGTCATCCGTTCGGCCGATCCTGAAACTCAACGGCGTTTGCGCTTCCTTGGCGAAGGGCGGTTTTAGCCATAAATCAAATTGCCAATGGGTCGATCTGTCGCCAGAGCGGGGTGATGGTCCGATCAAGGACAAAACGCACGGTGAGGTTTTGTGCAGGCATTGGTGTTTAGGCTGAGATCATCGTCACCTCTCCCTCCCTCTCTCGCTCGCTCGTCCTTGGCGAGCCTGGTTTCACCAGGGCCAGCTGCCCGCATTGGGAACGCGGGGGATCTAAAAACAACGGTGGGCCACGACGCTCGTAGCCACGCGGCGACAAGCGATCCTCCAGCAACGTCCACGTGTGCATAGATGCGTGCGGTGTCACGCCACTCTGTTTTCATCGAGCGGAGAACGCGGCTAAACGGGTGAAGACCGGGTTGAGGGGGGGGGGGGTGCAGAAGATATGCTAGTGATTTGACCGAAGACACTTTGGTCCCGGGGTCTCGCTTGGCAGCGTGGGCTCTCACGGAGCCAGCACTACCGAGCCACCCCCAAGTCAGGACAGGGCCCTGGGGTGGCTCGGCACTGCCCGGCTACACACTGACATCGAGAGAGAAGGTGCCGATCTTTCACTGTCATGATTCCGTGAACGATTTTTAACGGTGGTGGGGAGGGGGGAGGAGCCCAGTGCGTCATGCAAAAGTGACGCACACACACGTGACGATCACATGGCGACGCGCGACGCTGCTCGCAATGGCCGCCACGTGCTGCTGTTCGTGGTTATTACTCGTCGCCAACGAAAAGTAAACTCAACGGATAACAAAAAAAAAGAGCCATGGTTTTACGGTACATGTATTCTGTGTATGAATACACACGCTATATACATATACACACAGCATATATGTACATATGATGTATCCAGACGTAAACTGCATATATACATACACATAAACTGCGTATTGCATATACATACGTACATGTACAGCATACATAGAAATATGTAGTGAACGGGCAGGTTTTACTTTTTTCCTAAGAGGGGGAGAGATAAAGGCTGTCGCCGTTAAAACCGATTGTACAGGTGAGTGGACGGGAGAATCACGCACGAACGCACACGCACGTCTCTGCACGGAAAACTACCCAGGCACTGAACACAGGTCCCACCCACCCACCCACGGCCTAATGCGCTACAGTCACTGCACGGCCCCCAGAGGCTCGTAGGTCCCGATTTATTTGCATGCATAAAACCAGTCCTGCCAGAGCGCCGCCACATTCAATCTTCCGAGCCGACGCAGTCGACGGGCGTTCGCGGGCGGGTTTCTGCACGGGAGTTGCGCTTCCTCGCGCAGCGTCGTCCCCCCATTGTTCTCTTGCGTTTGATTTCGTGAAAAGCCACCCTTATCTTTTCGATCGGTCGCCCTCTCTCGGCTTGGCCGTCCCCTGCGCGGCTGCCGCGGCCGCGGCGGCTCTGACCCGGTCGTTGCCAGGGCCCCCCGGGTGATTGGGACGCTCCGCTCCTCCCTTGTCCCTCTTCTTGCCACCCGAAACCAGGCTCTTGAACGCCGAGCCCAACGACTTCGCCGGCGGCTTCGGGTGCCCGGCAAGCTCGTGCGCCGAGTCCGCCGCCGACTTCCCGCCGCCCGGGGACCTGTCGCACGCCGGCGCCTCGGGCGTCATTGTGGCGGCGGCGTCGGCGGCGGTGGGCGAGACGGTGAGGCCGTGCACCGCGCGGCCCGACGAGGACGAGGGAATCTCCGCCTCCAGCTCCCAGGGGCAGATGTCGCCCAGGTTGGCGGCCGGCTTGCGGGCCGAGCCGTCGCCGACCTCCGCGCCCGTCGGCTCGTCCGCCTCCCCGGGCTGCACCTCCCAGGGGCAGACGTCGGCACGGACCACCGCCGCTACCACCGCCGGCGCCGCCGGCGCTGGCTTGTCCTGCGGCGTCGCGCCGACCGCCTGCGCCGGCACCGGCTTGACGGCTTCGGCCGTCGGGCTGAGCTTCTTGGTGCCGTCCTCGGGGCTACTCGCCGGCGGCGGCGTCGCCTTCGTCTCAGCCACCGCGGCCGTCTCGGGCGCGGCGCCGTTCCCGCTCACGCTGTCGCCGCCACCACCGCCGCTGACCACCTCCGTAAGGCTCTGGTGACGCACGGGCGCCAGTGCCGCCCTGTGGCGGCCGACCTCGGGCAGCTTCCCGGCGAACTGGGTGCTGTCCAAGCTGTGGTAGCGCGCGCCGGCAATGGACGTGTGCTTCTGTGGCGCGATGGAGACGTGCTTCTGCGGGCGCAACGGGTCAGGGGGGGGCGGCGGCGTGGACGCCATGCCCTGGAACTCCCAGGGGCACACCTCCTCGCGGTTGTACTCCTCCTCCGGCCGCGGCGTGTTGTCGGCGAACGTCACGCCGTGGCGCTCCTCCGACGAGTTGCGCTGCGGGTGATGCGTCTGCGGTGACTGCGGCCGCGGGCTCTCCTCCTGCCGCGACTTGAGGCTTGAGGCCTTCACGCGCTCCTTGGCCTCGTTGGTGGCGGCCGCTGCGGCGGCAGCGACGGCGACAGTGCGCTTAATCCCTGTGGCCGCGGCCGCCGGAACCTTGGCGGTCTTCGTCTCCTCCTGGGCGGCGTGGTCCTTCCGGCCGACGGCCTCCGACACCGCCGCCACCACGGGAGTCGTCGCCACCTTGGCCTCGTCCGTCTTGGCTTCGCTGACGCCCACTTTGCCCGAGAGGGCGGCCGTCCTCTCCCTGGCGCCGCTGATGAGGCTGAGCGACTTCTGCAGCAGCGACGGCTTGAGCGAGTGGTGGTGGTTGTGGTGGTGGTGGTGATGGTGGTGGTGGTGGTGCTTGCCCACCGCGGACGATGGAGACCTCTTGTCGGAGGCCGACAGGTTGTGCGCGCTGGCCGAGCGGCACACGAGCGGCGCCGAGTCGACCGACTCGCTCTCGCCGCGCGCCTCCCCGTCCGGGCTCATCTCCTTCCCGGACGCCAACACCGAGCCGGGAGCCGACCTGTCCCGCGGGGAGCTCGCCTCTACGTCACCGGAGCCGACCCCCGCCCCGGGCAGCGGTTCCACTTCCGCCTTCTCCGACGTCGACGCGGAGCTGGGCTCCGACTGCTCCAGCAAGTGGTCGTAGGAGCTGTACGACTTGGGCAGGGCAAACGCCTTGTGGTTCGTGGTGCCGGTCGTTGTCGCTGACCGCTGCTGCTGCTGCTCCGCCCTCCCCCCCTTCGCCACCTCCGCCGTGGGCGAAGGCACCGCGGCGACGCCGGCGGTGGCGACGGTGCCGGCGGCGATGGCCACCCGCTTGCAGGAACCCGGCGTGTGGGGGCCGTGCGCGGAGCCCGCCGAGCCCCCCGCCCCGTGGCCGTCGCCGCCGCTGCCCCCCCCTCGGTCGCGCTCCTCGCGGCTGCTCTGCCGCACGACGTTCTCGGGCAGCTCGGTGATGCGGCGCATGATGGAGCGGCCGAGGCCCTTCTTGGAGCTGCGCTTCTTCTGCAGGTGCGGGTTGTTGGAGAGCATCTTCTGGCCCTTGTAGACCTCCAGCTGCGCATACAGCCGCTTCAGCTCGTCCTGCGGTGGCGAGGCAATACTCGGTGAACGACAAACGTGGACAGCGGCACGCGCCTCCCGATTAGCACGGTCGGCTACGTACGGTGCAAAAGCAGTTCAACGTGCAGACATTCCATGGAGCTGTGCAGAACTGTGAGAAACGGCTTCGGGGAGGCCTTAATCCAGCAGTGGATTGTTCATGGCCGATTATGGTGAACTGATGAATCGCTACACCTCAAGCAATCATGGCCTTACCATTGGGGCCACAGTAAATAAAACTAAATTATGTTTTATTTTTCGATTTAAAGCTTTCGTAACTGCAGGGATTCATCTTCTTGGTTCTTTCGGTAAAGTCACGTAGAAGGGAAGAAGAACAGATCTGTCGGAAAGACAGCGTCTGAATGGGCACCACCAGGCTTGGCAACGCTGCCAAGCTTTGGTGGTGCCCATTCAGACGCTGTCTTTCTGACAGACCTGTTCTTCACCTGAGGACGGCTGCTTGCGTTGTGGCCGAAACGTCGTGAGAATTATTTTATTATGTTTTATTATTATTATTATTTTATTATTTCCCTTCTACGTGACGTTACCGAAAGAACCAAGAAGATTTTTTTTATTTTACCAAGTAAGGCCCGCTGAGCTCTATAGCTATTTTCAGAAGCGACCTGGCCACAAATGATAGCTCAATGAAGTGGCTTATCACGTGGAAATGTATAGCAACGAGTTGCTCTAAACGCATGATTCTAAATGTAGAGGGAAAACCGGAGAATACGGAGAAAATTCCACGCGACCGCTGGGAGAGAGACACCGCAAACTCCCAATTTTCAGCAGGCGTCAGCGTTTGGGATCGAACCCACGACTTCCTGCATACCAGTTGAGGTAGTTAATATCTTCTCATAGCCACCGTAGCTGCCCACCCCTCCACACCCTCCGCCCCGCGTCTCACCCGCAGGTCCTCGGGGTCCATGCTGTGCTCGCTCCAGGCGGACGCGATGCTGGAGTTGAGGTAGGAGCCCGAGCGCCGCATCACGTCCAGCTCGTCCTCGTACGCCTCCGCGGCGATGTCGTCCCGCAGCGTCGCTCCGGAGCAGGCGAACTGCACGCGGAGGGGGGGGGGGGCAGGCGGTGAGAGGTGGGCGCAAGCGGGGAACAAAGACAAAGATTCCCCCTTGTAGCCTGTAACAGACTGTTGGGGCAAGTGCTGTTCGCGGGCATGTCTGCAAGCCGGTACTTTGGAGGCATCAATGTCGCGAGATTCTCTTCCCGCGGGCGTCGAGGAGGAGCTGTACCCTGGCTCGCCAGAAGGCGGCACAGCAGAAACACGGACTCCACCTGTCTCCTCTGTACGGGATAGAGTGTTTCCCCCTTGCATGTGTGGGTTTTCTCCGCTTGCTTCGATTTCATCCCACATGTAAACACTTATTAATTGGCCGATAACAGCTTCATATACAGAGGACCGCAGAGCTTGAGCAATTGTTGGCACTGGCTCGCCACACGGCTGCCTTGCTGTTTGTCTTTGGCTCCCCACGCCTCTGAGTCGTTCTCTCTCTACCAGAGCGAGCAAATCGTGCGCGGCTCATTACAAGTTGATATTATTACGATTGCCACAAACGAGGGGGTGGGTGGCCATCACCATGCCCGGCAGCCTTTGTCTCCCAGGTACGAATCTGAGGTTGAGTCAATCTCAGGGAGGCCCAGGACCGGTTCAGATATTTGTCAGCGATGTGAGCCACGAGTGGGAATCAATCTTGTGTCACGAGGTTTGTAGTTCAGTGTGCTAACCAGTGCACTGCGCACGCATACATACATGTGTGCATACACACACACACACCTTGTGTAAAAATACATCATGGATGGCACACACACAATGGCATGCACACACATACACAATGGCATACACACACCACAGATGCATATGTACATGTACATACATAAAAACAAGCATGAACACGTACACATACATCATGACACGCACACGTGTCATGAATCGCACATGCGCGCATATGCACTCTACGGCACGGATGTAGAAATACGTTCAACACACGCTGCTGACCTAACTTTGGCCCAACGGTTCCCACCACATGCCAACGTTGGCCCAACGTTAGCCCAACGCTGCACGTCTACTAGAAGTGCACATTCGCAATCTTCCAATCTTACACGAGCGCGCCGACAGTTTGATCTGGCCACAGGGATTCATATTCTTGGTTCTTTCGGTAAAGTCACGTAGAAGGGATTTCACACCTGATGATGATTGCTTGTGTTGCAGTCGAAACGTCGTGAGAATTTTTATTGTTTGATATTTTTATCATTTTATCATTTCCCTTCTACGTGACTTTGCCGAAAGAACCAATAATATGATACAAATCTCCTGTACTTAATGAAACTTGTTGAAGTCGTCACAGTGCCGAGATATGAAACGGCGCCTCCAGAACCGCAGCCGTCACACCGAGTTCTGCAGGCGTTATTTCTTATTCTCGCGTCCGAGTTCATGTTTGCCCTCCGTAGGCTGATAACTACGACGGCGACGGTAGATCGGATCACGCGATGCGAGGTACTCTCCTCTGGGTTGTATTATTACCCGACAGCTGATTGTGTTAGGAAAACCGGCATTCATTTGTGGCCAGATCGAGTGAACAGAGATTGAATGAAAGCAAATCAAAGGAGGGCTCCACGCAATTGATCAACCATTGAACATTTCAAACGCAGCGCTTTGTTTTACACGAACCCCGATATAACAATTGCAAGATAAATAAAAGCCCCCCCCCCCCAAAAAAAAAAAAACACAATAAAAAATATGAATGGAAAGGTCCGATTTAACTTAACGTGCATACATTAGCGGCGGTACAAAGCGCCGAAGCCTCACTGGTGTGGTGAGCAAACGCGTGTCGGCATGACAACGTAACGAGCACCATTTTACCCGAGCGCTCGTGCAACAGTGGGCAATGTCAGGGGGTTCACTCCCTCCCCCCTCCCCTCCCTCCCTCCCTCCACTCCCCCTCCCTCCCTTCCCCCTCCCTCCCTCCCTCCACTCCCCCTCCCTCCCTTCCCCCTTCCACTCCCCCTCCCTCCCCCTCCCTCCCATCCCCTGGTCTCCCTCCTGCTCTCCATCTCACTCCCCTCCCTCCTCCCTTTCTTCCTCCAACTATCCCTGCTAACCCTGCTTCTCCCTACCTCCCCGATCTCCCTCCCTCTCTCCCGGCTCTCCCTCCTTCCCCCCTCCCACTCTCCCTGCTCTCCCTCCTTCCCCCCTCCCTCTCTCCCTGATCTCCCTCCATCTCACCCTTATTGCATTCTCTCTCTCCCTGCTCTCCCTCCTTCCCCTCCCTTCCTCCAACTCTCCCTCCCTCTCTCCCTTGCTACTCTCTCTCTCTCTCTCTGTCTCCCGGCTCTCCCTCTCTACCCCTCATCTCCCTCACTCTCATGTCCCTCTCCCTCTCACCCGTACCTTGGGTATGAGCAGCAGGCTCACGGTGACCGTCACCGTCAGCTGGGTGTGAATAAACACCATGAGCAGCATCCAGTCGGGGTGCAGAGTGAAGGTCATCACAAACCTGTAACCACGGCGACACCACGGCAACCGTCAATGGCAGCCTCCCACGAACGCCCGTCATCTTGTGGCAGATTTAACAACAACAACAAAAACAACTCCTTGTTTTGCACGAGTGTGTGGTGAAGGGATGGGGTGTGGACTGGGTTATTGATGACATTATATTTTAATTAAAGATTCCTCTCTCACCTTGAACTATTTAATTTGGCGGTGGGGGAGGGAGGTGGAATCCTACAGGTTATTTTTACAAAATCTAAAAATTGTTTTATCTCCATTTAATGTCTTTAACTCTCAAGGGAGACCTGTTTGAAATATATACGCTTCCTCCATCTCCCTTGCAAGACATATGATGATGATAATGATGATGATTCTAATGGTAGCTCTCACCTCTGGTTAAATAAAGGATGATCAATGAATAACCTTTTAAAGAAAGGAAAAAAATTCCCAACTCTCAGCAGACGACACGTCTCCCTTCCCGTATTGAGTTAAGCGCGCACGGTTAATGTGTGCACTCTCGCTCCAATTTAATATCCACCGCCATTAATTATTCATGCAATAGCAAGGGTGTTGGCACCGGACGCAATAGAATACAATTCAGGCATGAAATATTGAGAGCACGGCGAGACCCGAGCACGGCGCAGCGACTCGGGGCTCGAGGGACGCGATCTCTGTGGGCAGTGTCAACACGTGGCCACGGGCGCGCTGGGGAAGAACGAGGCATTTTTCGTCGTCTTTATCGTCATCAAAGTCATCATTATTATCATCATCTTTGTCATCACCGTCGTCAACATTATCGTCATCATCATCGTCGTCATTATCTTAATCATCACCGTCGCCATCATAACCGTCATCAGATAGTCATCATCATCATCATCATAAAATCATCATCATGATCATCATCTATCCATCACTAACCATCAGCATCATCATTAAAAATGTAATTATCATAATTGCCATCAACAATCTAGTCATCGCCATCACTTCATCATCACAAAGCATCATTGGCATTTAAAAAAATCGTCATCGCTATCATGAATAATAATTATAATCATGGCAAAGTGTCCTCTGGTTAATAACCACGCAAATCTATTTAAATAATCCTTTACAGTGTGAGCAATTATCTTCATGATTATCACGATCGTGTATTTTCGCGAAACTGCATTTTTGTTCCATTATGTGCACTCTCCGTTAACGCGCCAGTGAGGTCATTATTCACACACTGATGTATTTGCTTGCGATTGTGTATCCCGTGTGCGCCCAGGTGACGACGGCGTTACGTCTCGTGATAGAATAATGTGGCCGACTCGACACTCGCTTTGATTAATTCAGCTCAGCTGGGACCCACGGCCAAGGATGGATTTTCAGTGAGAACTTTTCATTACCATTTAAAATCGACAATTTGAGTAAACCTAAGCGGGTTTTATCTTCATTGCAGCATGCATTTAATCCTCGCGACTCAAATGCATATTTGCTAAATAAGTATACGACAACGCAGTGATCCATCTCAACAGGTTTCAAATGGTGGAATTAATGAATGTACTTGTGCGTCTGTTATACTCGCTGTGAGGTGAAGGTTTAACTATGTCTGGAATTATTTTATTGAAATAAACCTGGATTGGGTGAAGCGGCAGTGAAGTGGTGAGCGGATTGCGCTATTAACCCGGTGACCCGAGCTTGATTCCCAGCCATGGATAAAAACAGCAACACCCTCTCTCGCCGCCTTTGTCTCTCCCTAGCGCTGATATTTGCTACACACCGCACCAGGCACTCAATTAAGGCTGAGTCGATCTAGCGGAGGCCCAGGACCGGTTCAGATTACCATCAGCAATGTCGGCCTTGAGCAGGAATTGAACTCGGGACGCCTGCTCTGCAGTGGGGCGCACGAATCCCAACACTCCCGCTCCACATTTGTTCCAACACGCAGGCACGCGCATACATATATGCAAACACACACGTATGGTGTAAGCACACAAAGACAAAGATCCCTCGTACGGCCTTAACAGAGAGTTGGGAAAGCACCTATGAAGGCCGGCACGGCGCACGAGGGCGTGGGTGGGCCAGCACCACGCCCGGCCGCCTTTGTCTTCCCAGTGGCTATGATTTTGCACACGGTATCAGGTAATCATTTGAGGCCGAGGACCGGTTCAGATATCGTTACTGGTGTTGGCCATGAGCGGGAATCGAACTCGGGTCGCCGGGTTCGTAGAGCGGCGTAGCGTCAACCGCTGCACTACCGCTCCCCCACGGAGTAAACACTCACAACACACAACACCGTCCACGTGTATACGTCACATACAGTGGGTTCTAACGTTTTACAAAGGGGGTTGCAACCAAGCTGTTTACTCAAAACGCCCGTCCGGCAGGTGCAGTCCGGACAGATTCAATTATCTCACTCAGAGGGAGCAGCGGGGGGGGGGGGGGCGTGACTCCGCGTTTGAAATTACGCCGCGCTGCGATGATTGAGAGCGAGAACGGCGGACCTAGAGATCCCTGGGAGACGTTGTGAACACCCGTGATGGGATGAGCCACGTGCGAATTTTAAGGGCACATTGGTGGCCCCCTGCCCAGCGAGCCTTCCCACACAACATCACGTGGCCTCAAGGTGCCTGGAATCGGTGGCGTCATCACGGTTGTTGTTCGTGGGATGTGATGAGACCGGGGTTGCCACCCGTCCTGGCTTTCCCAGGATTGCCTGCTTGTTCCCAGGATCGCCTACTTGTCGAGGAGGTCGCTCTTATCTTAGGAGATCTTTCAGACTTCCTTGGACATTAAAAGTCCCGGTTTATCGGCAGTTGCCAAGAAAATAAAAATAATAATGATAATACACCGCTAAAGACAAGTTTTTGCCTGCAGTTCTTCCACATCCCGGTATTGAGAGATATATTTTTTCTCTCACGATATGTCATGGTTTTTTTTAATGTCTAAGAGGTGGCAACTGTAGGTGAGCGTGTGCGTGCATGATGCAGCGGTGGCGCAGTGGCGAGCGCATGGAGCTACAAACCCAGCGACCCAAGTTCAATTCCCACTCACAAACCAATAACAATGGTGAATATTGAAACCAGTCCTTGGCCTCCCTATGTCAACTCAGCCTTAAATGAGCACCTGGTGTGGAGTATAAAGGGGACAGCTTTGTCAGGAGTGCACCTGACTGATTCCCAGGATTTGCTCCACCGCCACTGTAAGTATAAAGGAATGTTTGTTCAGTATCTATGCCATCTATGTATCTACGCGTTTCTGTTATGTTTGCGCTTCTGTTATGTTTGCGCTTCTGTTATGTTTGCGTTTCTGTTATGTTTGCGTTTCTGTTATGTTTGCGCTTCTGTTATGTTCGCGTTTCTGTTATGTTTGCGCTTCTGTTATGTTTGCGTTTCTGTTATGTTTGCGCTTCTGTTATGTTTGCGTTTCTGTTATGTTTGCGTTTCTGTTATGTTTGCGTTTCTGTTATGTTTGCGCTTCTGTTATGTTCGCGTTTCTGTTATGTTTGCGCTTCTGTTATGTTTGCGCTTCTGTTATGTTTGCGTTTCTGTTATGTTTGCGTTTCTGTTATGTTTGCGCTTCTGTTATGTTTGCGCTTCTGTTATGTTTGCGCTTCTGTTATGTTTGCGTTTCTGTTATGTTCGCGCTTCTGTTATGTTTGCGCTTCTGTTATGTTTGCGCTTCTGTTATGTTTGAGTTTCTGTTATGTTTGCGCTTCTGTTATGTTTGCGCTTCTGTTATGTTTGCGCTTCTGTTATGTTTGCGTTTCTGTTATGTTTGCGCTTCTGTTATGTTTGCGCTTCTGTTATGTTTGCGCTTCTGTTATGTTTGCGCTTCTGTTATGTTCGCGCTTCTGTTATGTTTGCGCTTCTGTTATGTTTGCGCTTCTGTTATGTTTGCGCTTCTGTTATGTTTGCGCTTCTGTTATGTTTGCGTTTCTGTTATGTTTGCGCTTCTGTTATGTTTGCGCTTCTGTTATGTTTGCGCTTCTGTTATGTTTGCGCTTCTGTTATGTTTGCGCTTCTGTTATGTTCGCGTTTCTGTTATGTTTGCGTTTCTGTTATGTTTGCGTTTCTGTTATGTTTGCGCTTCTGTTATGTTTGCGTTTCTGTTATGTTTGCGCTTCTGTTATGTTTGCGTTTCTGTTATGTTTGCGCTTCTGTTATGTTTGCGCTTCTGTTATGTTTGCGTTTCTGTTATGTTTGCGTTTCTGTTATGTTCGCGCTTCTGTTATGTTTGCGCTTCTGTTATGTTTGCGTTTCTGTTATGTTTGCGTTTCTGTTATGTTCGCGCTTCTGTTATGTTTGCGCTTCTGTTATGTTTGCGCTTCTGTTATGTTTGCGCTTCTGTTATGTTTGCGTTTCTGTTATGTTCGCGCTTCTGTTATGTTTGCGCTTCTGTTATGTTTGCGCTTCTGTTATGTGAAGTCGCAAACGTAGCGTGTACAGGTTGTGGGAACACAACATACTTTTTAGTTTTTGGTTCTTTCGGTAAAGTCACGGAGAAAGAAAATAAATTAAATATTAGAATACGACGTTTCGATTGCAACACAAGCAATCATCATCAGGTACGAATGAATGAGAAAAAAACAAACCTAGCAAACTTGGAAATAGAATGCAATACAACACAGAGAGTCGGCTAACACAACAGTCAACACCCTACCTGGTTGATTACGTTCTTCCAAAGATTGCACATGCCTATGTGTTATGTTAGCCGACTCTCTGTGTTGTATTGCATTCTATTTCTAAGTTTACTAGGTTTGTTTTTTGTCATTCATTCTTACCTGATGATGATTGCTTGTGTTGCAATCGAAACGTCGTATTCTATTATTGAATTTATTTTCTTTCTCCGTGACTTTACCGAAAGGACCAAAAAGTAATTCCTGCAGTCACGAAAGCTCCAAATCAAGTTTGGAACACAACATATTTGGGGAGTGCGATGGGACACGAGGGCCGGGCGAAGCTGAGCGCTGCTGGCGAGATTGAGGGCGGGAGGTCGAAGGAGTGCACAAGGGAGCGCTACGCGACATCCACACGCTTCGAGACGCACCGCGCGACGCGCGTCACGCCTCACATCAGACGCACAACACTCGCGCACGGCTGGAGACGCACTGTGAATCGCGCAGCGTAGGACGCGAAACGGGGAAGCGCGACGCGGGCCACATGGCAACGCGACGCCACGTAAAGAACGCGAAGCGAGAGATGCCAGACACTCCATGCCCTTACTGCAGGATGTGGAAGATGAGCGAGAGCAGCATCTCGTTGAGCACGGCGACCGTCATGTGGCAGGGCTCGTGGAAGGCGGAGGGCACGGTGCGCACCGCGTAGCACAGGTACATGGTCCAGCAGAGGAACAGGAACTCCGCTAGCGAGGGGAAGAGGACAGTGGTGGACAACGGGGGGGACGTTACCAGAGCAGGCGGAGGTCAGAGTTCGGGGGTGGTGGGTGAGAAGCAATAGCGCAGTGCGGCGTGTCAGCCATTGTCATCATCATCGGCAGCCATGATCAATCCACTGCTGGATGAAGGCTTTCCCCACGTGCCGCCATTCTCTCGCGATCCTGCGAAGTGAGAGTCCAACTGGCACCCCGACACGAGCCGATTTCATCGCTCCGTCTCTACTCGGTGGACGCCCCCCAGGATGCATTCCATCACGTGGTTGCCGCTCTCGTTACTCGTGGCGATCATCCCGAGTCAGCATGGAGAAACAAACCACAACGGATGAACGGACGGCTGAGTACACGACGGCGCCGAATGCGGTACGCACGTGCTACGGTCAGGGCGCTTATGGATGAAGGTGGGAGAGCATGCGTGCCCTTGCTTGCCGATACGGGTGTAAGTGTGCTTACAATATGAAGGCAATGCGGAGTGGATTTCGTTTATGATGCGCAAACAACCGCAGCGATCCCTCTCTCTCTTTCCTTCATTATGTTCGACTAAAATTAAACGTGAAAACTGATTATTTTTTTCAATTCTAATTTGACATCGCTTAAAGTCTACAATTTATTTGTACAGCACTGCGATGTCATTCTTCAAGGTACATTGTAGGCATGGATCGTTATTAAAGTGTTATTTTTTATTTTAAATCTGCGTGGGCACACGCTGTGTAGTCATTTGATACTACTACATCAATGTTATGTGTAGGCTTTCACAACCAATATTGCGATTCATAATTGGTTGCTTTTGAGTTTGATCACCGTGTAGGTAGAATGCCGATTAGTTTAACAATAACCCTCCACCACCAAACGGAGACACTGAAATCAAGTTGTCAAATCACAAGCAAATGGAGACATTAAAAGACTAAATTTTGACAGTCTGTAATATGGAGAAAATGTTCCATGCTTTTCAACATTCCTCCAGTTTGACTGAAAAAAACCCAAATCACTTTGCACGTTTGTGCACGTGGCAACTGTATTTGACTGGCTCTGTCTGGTGGTGGATGTTAGAGTTAAAGGATTGACATTGCACCTACATACGATCTAAGCCAACAAAAATAACTACGACTCATATTACATCAGTCGACAGTACACAAGAGAGAGATTCCAACAGCCAAGTTGGAATTGAAAAAAAGATACGCCTAGTATTGTACATTATTCTAATATACAATTCACGACTTCGCTATGTGTCTGAATGTAAGCATTATGTATTATGGAGGAATTTCATCTTTTTCTTGATTATCGTGTGCTCTACAATGCACACGCATTGGACTCTCAGGGGCTTGAATATTTCATCACGGAACATTAATTGATTTTGTCATGTTATTGGGTTCGATTATTTTTTATTGTACCACATGCGTGTGATGATTTTGATCTCTCCGATGTCTAAAGCAACGCTGGAATTTTAAGGCATATGCAGTCACAATCAAGGGATCTTTTAGCCCAATTTATGAACATAAAAAATATTGCTTTGGGACGCTAAAGCCTTGCATTAACTACATGCGCAACTAACAATTATTAATTCCAGTTATCGCTTGGGTGCAAGAGATCACCCATATAGCCTCGTCCACTATTGGGGCGAATATTTTGAGCGAGCCCCTGATTAAATGAGCATGACACGTGGGGGGTTGTAAGGCCAGCCACCACCGTCTCCCCATTGCTGATGTTTACACACTGCACCAGGTACATTTTTCATGCTGAGCCAAGCGAGGGAAGACAACAGACCAGCTCAGACACCACTTGCTACTGATGATGATCTCATATATGGCCAATGAAGCGCAACTATGAACGATTCAGTTCTAAGTTATTTTTCCATTAAATGTATCTTAGGCATATACCGTACTGATGATTGCAATGACCTGGAATTGAACTCAGGTAGGTGGACAGCCCAGTACACGAAGCACTGCAACACCACTCCACGCACAAAAGTATACAAAGACCCCCATGTAGTCTCCAACAGACCGTTGGGGCAAGTACTGTCAGTTTGTTGTCCGTCCCCTGCACCTCCGATTAGTATGGTTGACTACATATGGTGCGAAATAAGTTCAGCTTACATACACACAACACGGCATGCTAGGGGAGTGAGTGGCTAACACCACAACCGGCCGCCGCCTTTGTCTCCCCCAGTGTTGCTGTTTACACGCAGCGGCACTTAAACACACGCACGCGCACGGACACAGCAGAGCACACTGACCCAGCGCCATCATGTAGTCCCAGCGGCTGAGCAGGCACTGTGTGAAGCGCAGCCCCTCGGCCGTCTGGCCCACGCCCACGAGCAGCACGCCGCGGCCCAGGTTCTCCCACGCGGCGGCGCTCCACGCCGTGAGGAACCACAGCACGAGCAGCATGATGAGGCCCAGCATGCGCAGCACCCGTCCGCTCGTCAGGTACGGCAGCCGCTGGGCCGTGCGCGCCAGGAACACCTTCAGCACCCTGGAGAGCGACAGCGGGGGGAGCGGGCACCATTGCACACTGCCACTCGCGATGTCGCGTGCGTGTGTAGGTGCTCGCTAACAGCACTTGCCCCTACAGTCCGTTGAGGCTGTACGGGGGATCTTTGTCTTTGTGTGTCCGAGCGGGTTCGGTTCCTGCTCATGGCCACCACCAGTGACAATTATCCGAGCCGGTCCTGGGCCTCCCCTAGGTCGACTCAGCCTCAAATGAGTAAATGGTGCAGTGGGTAAACATCGTCACTAGGGAGACAAAGGCGGCTGGGCGTGGCGATGGCCATCCACCCCTTCGTGTGCCACAGTGCCGGCCTTCGTAGGTGCTCGCGAGCAGCACTTGCCCCTCAACAGTCTGTTGAGGCTACACGGGGGATCTTTGTCTTTGTGTATCCATGCGCCACGCACCGGTGCAGCTTGAGCGTGATGGTGCCGTACAGGATGGAGAATCCGAGTAGGCGAACCCAGCGCAGGGCCATGCACTGCAGAGCTCCCGGCTCAAAGTACAGGATGATCACCTGGGCAGCCAGAGACAAAAAGCGCGATTCCATTCCTCCCATAAGTGCTCGTCAGCAAGCACACGTCAAGGCCAGCATCATAAACACCTGCGAACGAAGTCGATTGCATACGAACAACCCTTAAGAACACTGACAATACGTACACGGTGAACGCTGTGACTATTCCGTGAATGGTCTGGCCAGAGGAGAGAACAGCTGACTGCTTCACCGTCCAAAGTCACCAAGAGGACGAGCAGAAACTCCGTCTCTATGAATCCCCGGATCTCCTGCTCACGAGCGTTCTCTCCTCAGCATGGGCTCAGGCCGAGTGCTAATCTCACCGTTTGGCTAAGCCAGACACGATCGGGTAGAACCATTATCTTCATTGAACCCGACCCCAAATTCAATTTTTAATTGATAATTAAAAAGCGTACACGTGTACGTGCATATGTGTCTGTGTGTGAACATACGGCTGGTTGAATTGGCACACTTCTGCAATCCGGTGCCTTGGAGGCAGGGGCTGGTAGACCACTTAGAATCGCAAAACTCGCCAAGCCTGCTGGAATGTGGAGTGGCCAAAGCGTCGACTTCGATTCAAATGTGATATAAGGAACTGGTCAAACGACCCCATAGACAGGAACCCTCCTGAAAATGATTTTGGCCGATGACAACGAATCGTCACACTTGGTGGTGAAAACTGGATTCAAGAAAGGTAGTTTTTTACCGTCCCAGTGAAAGGTGGTGCCTCTCGTGCCTGCGGAGGTGGCACGAACCCATCACGTATACACATTGAAAACACTGCGATTTATTGCTTAGACCTGCCCCCCTCATTGCAGGTGAGGTTTCGTGTCCGTGCGTTTATGCATCCGGGGCCGTGTGGAAGAGTAATTCGGCTCTGCGGTGTGTTTTGTTTGTTGTTGTACAGAGTTAGACTGATGGCTTTAATCTAAGTTGTCTTGTGGTTGTTGTTGTTTGACTTGCATCCCACTGGAATTGTTGCACACAACGTTGGTGTACGGTGCTTTTTATGGAAGACTTTGCTGTTTATCCTGGATTTTTTTGTTTGCGCATCGTCACTTTAAGATGTTTTGTTGTTCATGTTTTTGTTTTTTGTTTTGTTGCGGTTGCATCCGACTCAAGAGCCGAATGACTCACAGGGCTATACCAAATAAACTGAAATAAATAAACTGAAAACTGAAGTTATTCGGGTCCTATCGTGGCGTTATTCGGAGAGCTACGCAGCACAACCATCAACACCTACGAAGTGTCAAGAGTCTTGTGAGTCCAGGATGACAAAGAAAACAAATCTACTTATAGCAACAACAACAACAAAACAACCGACCGGGATGTTCCAATTTTGTGGTGTGAATGCGTTCCACGGGGTCGACGGGGAGAATTATACCGGGAAGCAGAGCAGGAAGGAGCCGAAGAGCAGAACCTCCAGCAGGAGGAGCCCGGAGGAGCGGATGTTCTGCAAGACGATCACGGCAACAGGGTGAGATAAATCACGTAGCAGTCGGAGCAGTCGTAGGGCTTTCGCCAACAATATTACCCGAAGTAAACGTTTTTTGGGGTTAGATCGTGTAAATAAATACAAGTGTGTCGTTAACCCGCCACCACCCGACGCTAACCACTGTGCCATCACTCCATCCCTTAAATACGTATCATATTAAATACATGCTCTATTTAACCTGGAGTCACGGCATTTAAAATCAAAAATTCAGATTTGATACGTAATTTTTGTTCACATGCGGGGAGTGAATGATGGTGAATGACTGATGGGTGAGTTCGCTCATTGAATGAGGGTTTGTGATTAAGTGAATTCGTGACGGGCATGGCAAAGTGAGTGAGTTAGTGAAGGATACAGTTCATTGAGTGGGTGGTTGAGTAAGTGAGTGTGTTGATTGCGTTCGGGTTTTGAGCGAGCGGGTTTTTGAAGGAGATAGTTAATTGATCCACTCACTTGGAGTGAGTGAGTGAGTGAGCGAGTGAGTGAGTGAGTGAGCGGTTGAGCGAGTGAGCTATCGGATGCGATAGTTAATTGGCAAGCCTGTGTGGGGGCGAGGTGTTGGGTGTGATAAATATAATGGATGAGTGAGTAAGAGAGCGAGTGAGTGAGCGAGCAAAGCATCGAGTGGGTGAGTACAGTGAGAGTGTGGCTTGGGAGATGGGACACGAGACGAGAGTAAAGCGAGTGTCTGGAGCGAGCGGTGAATGATTGGTTAAGTGAGTGAGCGAGTGAGTGGGGTGAGGTTCATCTTTCGCGCCCGGGGGGTCACGGGGTCACCAATCACAGCTGCAGGCATCGCTGAGTGACAAGTCCCTTGCCCCCGCTGAGAGCAGTTGCTCGTGATGGATTAAACACGACCACGTGTTTGTGATGAAACAGTGGAAGGAGGGCTATGCTGGGGCTGGTAAAAATACAAACGATGAGGTTTCTGATCAATGCTTCTCACGGCGCTCACCTTTGAGACATTATTTAAACTGGAAATTGACACAATGCGGGCGAACGATTGTGCAACCGTCTGAATGATTAGATTTGCGTCGGTAAAGACGACTCTGACTGAAATTGACTCAACTCGCTCTCGAAGAACCGCGGTGGCCCCCCCCCCCCCCCTTGCTCCGAGCGTAGAATTGACGCGCGCGACGGCCAGGCTCTGGAACGATGCCGTGCCGTCATCGGTGGCTCTCCTCAAACCCCATTCTCCCTGCGTTTCCCCAAGTGGTCTCGCATTTTTTACACACGAACCAATCCTCTCGTTCATCTCTGACGAAAGGACACCGGTGAGCCGCGGGACGATTCACCTCCTCCGCCGAATCCAATGAGCCGTCACGATTTAGAATTGAGACTTGGTGTTTAGAATCTGCTCGCCTTTTTGCGTCGTCTTCACCGTCTCGTCGGCGCACTTCTCGTCTCGTTCTGCAACCCCGTTTTTGTCCCCGTGAGTAAACGGTACCACAGGCGTCACATCCGCGTGCAATTCCAAGGATCGATTCTCGCTCGCGCGATCTAGAATCGGGACCACCCCCTCTCTGCTGCCTGTTACACTGTACCTGTCTCGTGATACTGCATTGCCACAATTACAATTAACACGCGTTATATAGCGCGTGCTAATTGTGTTATACCACGCGTGATAACTGTGCTTGTCGTAACACGTTTGTCAATAACAGCCCTGCCCCCTTCGCCAATCGTCCATCGCAGCAGAACGTTTCCCTAACCTGACGAAAGGCTCCACGTGGAGTTGATTTACGTGAGGACCCCGGTGCTCAGGCGGGGTCCACACGATCGCCACGTGCCCAATGCCGGATTATCCTCGTAGCAAGAGTAGCTACAAATGCTACGGGCCCCGCACTTTCAAGGGCCCTTGCGCTAAATGCTTCAAGCTATCAATTCCGGTGATTCTGCACTTTCTCTATTACTATAGTACTATACCGCCTTCAACTTTAATGAACGACTGGGTGTTTAAGATTAGCGATTTGTCGTGTTATCTGGCTGTATAGCAAATTAAAAAATACAATTACTTTACTATGCAAGTAAAACATGTGTTTTAATGTTTATGTGTTTAATGTAGGGCCCCTTTATAACAACATATGCTGCAGGCCTTTCACTCGCTTAGTCCGGCACCGCACGTGCCAGTGGCTCGGTCCAGTGGCATGGCGAGCTGCGACGACCAGAGCTCGTCAACAACACTGTGGTGGTCTTAGAAGGAAAACCGATATCATGGGTGAAGTTTCAGGCAATGACGTTGTTCAAAGCACATCTTCTGCCTATGACTATATTCCTGCTAGGATCCGGTCGTGGGAACAGGACGAGTGGTCGGGCTGCCACCCCTGGTCGATCGATCAGCTCGACGCCCGGCTCCAACACCGTGCCGGCTGGCCCGGCTCACCATGTTCCCGCGGCTCACCATGTTCCCGCGGCTCACTTTGTTCCCGCGGCTCACCTTGTTCTTGCGGCAGCGGTAGACGACGGCCATGCTGGCGAGCACGAGCAGCGCGCACAGCAGCTCGGCGGCGAGCAGCGCCAGGCGCAGGGCGGGCAGCAGCACGGCCAGGCAGGGCCGGCCGTCCGTGCACGTCGAGCAGCCCTCGGCACACGGAGCGCACTCCACCCCGCCGACACCGTCGGTGCCAAAGCCGCCGACGCCGACGCCACGCGCTGCCGAGACAGCAGCGACGTTCAGGAAGCCACTGGAAGCCGCGGTGGCTAGGAGATGTTATCTCTCTCGCCTGGTATACAGGAGGTCGTGGGTTCGATCACGATCCTGACGCCTGCTGTAAATTTGGAGTTTGCGTGTATCTCTCTCTCCCAGTGATCACGTGGAATTTAACCTTGGACGACCTTGGATCAAACTGAAGAATGGATTTGTGCTAGACTTTTTTTGTTTCAAATTACGTAAAAACAGTTAGTCCTGCATAGCATGAGAACGTGGACGGATGGTGATTTGTCATACTCTGTGGGTATGTGTTTTCTTTCATAGATCGGAAGGCATTTTTGTTCACATATCAAACCAATTTTGCATGCGCCTAGAGATGCGATGACACATGAAGTGTGAAAATTATTGCACGATGGTGATGATTGTGGTGATGTCGATGATGACGATGCAACCATCGCAGCTTGGACTGGGGTTAGACCCGTGGCCACCACCTTTACTGAGATTGCTTCTCCAGATGCACGGTTGATCTTTAAGCTTTTTCTGTCATATAAAAAAAACATCTAACCATTTTATGTCCTCGCATTCCTAGACTTGGGCACTCCCATGCATCATCTCTGCCGTCATTCGGCTAACCTTGTTCAAGGTCACGTGGACGTGCTTATCCGCTATAGTCTCCACTGTTATTCCAGCCCACTTTTTGTTAGATCAGCCACTGGGCCTTTATTGAACGCCTATGTTGAATTATAAACATGTAAAAGAAATAAATAAAACTTGCAGCCCATTGTTGATTTGCCATCGTCTTAGTTGGACGCGGTGGTGGGCGCCTGTGGTCCGGAACTTTGGGGGGCTAGGGTTTGTGGATCATGGGAGAGTTGTTACCGCTGCATTGCACAGTGGTCAGGATGTGGCAGTATGGCAAGTTGATTTTTGAGCCCATCTGTGCGGACATTGTGAGCGCTCTACCCTGATATTGCATGCGCTTAACCCGGGTAATCTGCTTTCATGTCACTAACAAAACACTCCACATTAGAATTGGCCAAACAACGTAACGCAAGGTACCCGCCTGAAAAAATTGCATTGTCTAAAATGGTTTAAACATTTGTAATCCGTCAAAAAACTAGGGCCAGTGCTACTAAATCACAGACACTGCTTTGTATGACTGCTCAACATCAATCCTGAATAGCTTTTGTTCGTATATGTACATGTGTGTGTACATGCAGTGTAGTGGTTAGCGCGCTTGGGCTATGAACCCAGCGACCCGAGTTCGAATCCCGAATCCCGCTCACGGCCAACACCAGTGACGATTATTTGAACCGGCCCTGGGCCTCCCTGAAGTCAATTTGGCCTCAAATGGGTACCTGGTGTGGTGTGTAAACTCCGCTAATGGCGGCCGGGCATGGTGCTGGCCACCCAACCCCCTTGTGTGCCGTGGTGGTCTTCATAGGTGCTGCTCGCTAACAGCACTTGCCCCAACAGTCTGTTAAGGCTATACGGAGGAACTTTGTTCGTGTCTTGTGTGCATATTTTTTTTACATTAGCGTATCCCATGACACGTGCTTGCCTCCGTGTTGCCGACGACACACGATAGCCCCACGGCGCCGCGCCACGAGATTGTATTCAGGAGGCACCGAGGCTTTAGCGGAATGAGCAGCGTGGGGCCTCAGGTTCGATGAGGCAGCGCAAACGGAGAGCGGCACGCGAGCGTCCAGCCAGCATCTTGTTCGGCACCGTCGGCGGATGATGACGCAGAGCTGACAAGTGCCGAATTATTTTTTTTTTTACCAGAAGCGACCTGGCTATCACAAATGATAGCTCAACGAAGTGGCTTATCGCATGGACATTTACAGCAGCCAAGTACTAAATGTGGAGGACCCGTAGACAAATCTACGCGACCACGGGGGAGAACATGAAAACTCCAAATATACAAGCGTCAGGGTCGGGATCAAACCCACGACCTCCTGTATAACCAGGAGCCGTTGACTTGGGCCAACGGCCTCTCGCCCCCCACCCCAGGAACATTCTTGCCAATATTCCCACCTCTCTATTCGACAGCCTCCATCTAAATCATTAAAATTCGCTCAAACTGAGCACGTGCTCAGGTTCACGCGGCGTGAGCGCTGAGGTCGTCACGGCGGTTGACATGGCCTCGCACACGGAGTGACACGCCGATGCTCAATCTGACGCTCAAATATTGTCCTTCCCCTGCACCTCCGATTAGCACGGTTGGCTACGTACAGCGCGAAATAAGTTCATTGTACACGTATTTCCCAACTCGCGTTTTTGTTTTGCTGTTCATTTTTATTATCGTTATAATGATTTTTGAGCTTAAACATGTGTTTGCAGGCGTACTCGCTCACACTTGCCGCTTGGCTTTTGCCCGGCATTTGAAGACGCTCGCACATTCCGACGCTCTGCCCGTTCAGGTCAATATCGATTGGGTTCACAACGCCTGTCGTGGCTTCTACAGAACCCGGCGAGAGCGTTAAGCCGAAACGCGGAGCGGTCAGCGCTGTGTCTCCCGGAAAGAGAGAGAGAAAAAAAAGTACAACCCACGCCGTCTCTACCCCCGCCGATGCTGCGACACTCACCACCGCCGGTGTCGTTGGCGTGTGCTTTCGGGCGGTAGAACCCCGTCCTGCAGACGCAGGTGTAGGCACCCAGACGGAAGCCTTGGCCCCGCACTGCGACGCACTGCGCTCGCGCACACGGAGACAAAGGCCATGTCCCGCTGTGTGGCTCACCGCTGCACCTCGCCACTGGCTCGTTGGGCGCGAGTCAGCGTGGGTGGTTTTACGCTGACGTTGGTGGAACCACGCTGTGTGTCTGTATGCATGATGAGCTTCCTCCGCACGGTACGTCACCAACCGCGTTAAATCGGAGGTACGGCGGAAGGACATTCTAAACACAAAAAGCAGTTCTGAAGAAATTAGCTTTTAATCTAGAAACGGAAGCTGGCTCGGGGCCAAGCAGGGCCAGGGGCGGAGACAAATGATACGTTCATTGCTCGTCACGTCAGTCGGCACAGCGTGAGAACACGGCGTCACCGTGCCGTCTACATACGACGCGTGTGACGTCGTTTGAGCGGTTTCAGCTCCTGCAGCGGAACACTAATATATCTCCACCTGAGCCATGAAGGGCTGGCTTGGCACGGCCCCAGTACAGCTCGGTCGTGCAGTGGCACACCACATCCAGTATACCTGCTGCAATGAGGTAGCTTCGAGTCGTGTGCGGATTCCAGTCTTGTTGCCACTCGGAAATTATTCAGTGCGAAATGAATTCCTGCTTAGGTTGTTGAGACCAGTGTTGACAGTGAGCACTTATTAAGGCCAGCATGGCACGAGAGGGGTTGGGTGGCCAGCACCACGCCCAGCCGCCTTTTTATCCCCAGTGCTGATAGAGACTCAGGGCCAGTTCTGATATCACTTGCTACTGACATTACAGCGCAATTTTTGCGTGACGTCCACACACAAGGTCGTGTGTTGGATGTACAGGAGTGGCGATGGACATCTTAGCGTGCAGCCCATACTCATAATCCCGCTGTTTTTCCCCGTTTCAGGACTTTTCTGTTCTCGTAGTGCCGAGCTGCGGGTGTGCTTTGTGGCCGTGCTTACGACGCGTGTCTCGGCAGCCAAGACACGCAGCGGCGGAAGCCCCTTTTGTGTCGAGGCTCTTGTTTCATTTGATTTGATTGGCTGCGAGATGCACATTGGCAGTGAGTGAAGCCCCTTCGCGCCGGAGACACCGCTCGAGTTGCAAGGTGGATTTTAATTTAGCAAACTGGAATCAATCGGAAGCGACCTTGGATCACCACACGCCATGATAGTGCCTTCGATTCCAAATATGTGTGTGTGTGTGTGAATGAATCAAACGTGCTCTAACGTTGTTTCAATCGCCACAGGGCATCGGCTGCAGTGGAGTGCCAGTTCAGATCTTCTTTCACCAAAAAGACACCAATCGCTTTCGGCGGGGAAAGATTTAACTCAAGTCCCCATTCTCTTTCAGCGCAGTGCTCCCACACAGCCAAAGGGGGCAACTGCACTTTTCATAATAAAGGTTTTTGGGTTAAATTGCGTAAGTATTAAACGTGTCGTAACCCTCCACCACCCGACACAGCCAATTAGTAATGGATTTGTCACGTAAACAAAAGGTAAAATACTTACTACTTCAGCTCACCGGTGTGTTGGAGAGTAAATCCACAACATTTACAATTGAGTACGACGTTTCTACGTGTTAAACTGCACTTTTAACGGGTAGAGAGTCGTACCATCAGCGGGTAAGAGGATCGTACCATCAGCGGGTGAAACGGGCCAAACCATTCGGCACCACAGCGCACGTCTTCTCGGATGGTGCCCGAGAGAATCCGCGGCCGTTTGCGTCGGCCACGAATCATTCGCCGACCCACGGCAATCAAACTACATCTTCAATTTAAAATATGAATTTTACTAAAATGTCACTGTTAAAAGAATATATGTTATTTTATAAATATACGCTCATATAATATCGTAATATATGCACGTAATATAAAAGACAACCTAATCAAATGTCGTTTAAGACAAGCACCTGTACACGCTGTGCGAGCGTGCTGCGCGATGCCCGCGTGATGCGGAGCGCTCTGGAGTGGTTGCCGCCCGTCGTTTCGGGCACACGACAGCCACGAGTTTGATCCGCAGCCCCCGACGCACACACACACACAGACCCACAGTCATTCCCATTCCGACCTTGTCTGGGCCCGCTCTAGGTCGACTCAGTTTAACCCGAGGACGTGGTGCAGCGGTGTGGTCAATGCCAACAACGGGAAGACAAACGCATTCGTGGCCGAGTGGTGTCATTGACACCAGCAAACCCTCTGTGGCACGGATAGGTGCTCGCTAGCAGCACTTGCCCCACGAGTCTGCCACAGTTGTATATTTGCCTTTGAGTGTTGTTACATGTATCATACTCACCGAGACTAGCGATTTAATCTGCCGATTTTTAAACCCTTTCACTGGATATTGCTATTCAAGCACATGTTCTGTCGACCTTTTTGTTTTGTTTTTGAAGCAGTACGATTACCTTTGAAACTCCGTAGGGGTACAACAACAAAAACATCGCCAGCCCCACCGCTTCAATCGGTAGGGTTGGAAAAACATTGACGCGCGTGTTCTAGGACACGTCGCTGGAACGGACGATGGCAGATGGTCGAGACTATTGACGGAGTCGAGGCCAAGGAGGACTGCCGTCCGGGTCTCTGGGAGAACGTCCACCGGGGAGATGCGGCGATGAAACCGGCTCCTGTGCAGATCGTCGGCGGCTTACTGGACCGCAGGATCATGAGAAATGATGGTGGCGTATAGGGAGGCCATCATCCAGCAGCGGATCGACCAAGGCTGATGACGACGATTATGATGACGACCAAGGCGATTCACAAACGTGCGTGCAATTATCACACATCTCAGTAGCGGAGAACGCAGAGAGAGGATGGGAGATTGACGCTGGCACAACAGAGGAATTGACTTACATAACTAAGCCGTGCCAGCCTCTGCGCAAAGCTATATTCGGCCGAAGCATTAAAGTCCCCCCCCCCCGCCGCGAGGACGCGGGGCTTTGGCGCGAGCGCGCAATGCGTGCCTCCGATTAGCACGGTTGGCTACGTACGGTGTGAAAGAAGTTCAACATGCATACACGCGCGCCGTCATTCCCCCCCACCCACTCCCCATTTGAACGAAACAGATAAGCGGACATCACAGCTGCTTCGTATGCATCTGGAAGTGCGCACTCTCAGAAGGCCGTGTGGTTGAAAAAACATGTATTACGGTAATGCTGCTTGATGATGATGATGATGATTGATGATGAATGCTCATTACGATTGATATTCATGATTTCTTTGATAGATGGTGCTCATACTACTTTATGGTAATTCTGCTGCTGTTGACTATGATGATTCTAGGGTAGCAACAAGGCCGAGCAGTAGCGCATTCACCATTTGTTGCAGAGGTTCACGGTTCGAATCTAACGGCTGCCCCGATTAATACTGCCGTGGTGTGGTATTACTCATTAAAATACCACGTGTTGTTTGCTTCACAGTGGACCTTAAAGCTCCATTGACGTCATTCGCAAGAGTAGGCCGCCGTGTGCCGGCGTCATGGTCCGAATTTGTTACTTAAATTAAAATACGTGCATATTACTCAATTGGATTCTGCATGGCAATCATCGCCACACTAATGCGAAAACCTGGCAGGACCCTCCTGAGCAAAAAGAGTCATGCGACTCAGCGAGGCTTCCCTGGATAAACAAGCATGATAAGAGAAAAATACTATGAGAAAAAATATATATTCTGATAATGGTGCAAGAGTCCTTCCATGATGTGCACGCAGGGTGCGAAGACTGAGAAGGTCTGGTGGCCGTAGCGGATTTGGAAGGGGATGGAGAAGCAGACAAGAGGTGGGAGTGCGGGGGAGGTGGAGGCGCGGGTAAAGGAGAGAAACGTGTCCCCGTATTTATCTCACCGATGCTGCAGGCTCTCCGATCGACCGATTCCCACTTTTAGAAGCCAAAACTCAGAGCTCTGATTAGCACTTTGCGAGCATACAGCCCCGCGGCGCTGCTTTTTATAGCGCAATCTGAGAGCGGAGCGGTGCGCACTTGGACTGCCGGAGAGACGCTGCTGCTGCGACAATGGTGATGATGGCAATAATGAGTTTTCAGCATAATTCACAACATTATCATTTAAAAGTGATATGATTAATTTAACACACGCCGAGCATCGCCGCGGTCATCCGCGAAGACGGTCAGGCGAGCGCAGTGCGCTCGCAGCGCAGCCTTCGCTGGTGGCCAGACGCTGGGCGCTGTAACCACCTAAAACCCGCGGAGTGAACAGGAGGGCAGGGACGTCGGCGGCGGACGGCTCGGGGCGAGGGTCAGCGGCGGGCCTCGCGCCAGGGGCCGGGTTCGCTCGGCCGCGAGGCTTGGAGCTGCACCTGGCGGCGTCTTCCACGCCGGGGACAGGATCCGCAGCTTCCCCATCCCACATTGGGAGGTGGGATGGGGGAGCTGCCGTTGAAGGTCCAGCCCCCCTTCTAAAGTCGTCTAGTCAATTCAACCAAACAAAGCATGACGGTACAATATTTTATATCAGTCGTGGCTTTACCTCGGCCTCTCCTCGTAAGCCATCACTTGTGGCCAGGGGGCTTCTGAAAAACAAATGAATGCCTCAGTGGGCTTCACCTACGTTGAACTCCTGTCGTACTTTCATGTTGTTTGTCGCTGCAACGTTCTTAGCCGCCCCTGCTGAACATCTGTGAAAAAAGAGCTTTATAGCTCATCGGATTCCTCCAGTGTAAATACAGATTCTGATTTTGAAGCACAGACGGGGGGAGGGAGGGGAGGTGAGCCAGGGCTGATCGCGTCGTTTACTCGTCACGTGCGGCGTTGTGACCTCCCCCCCCCCACTCCCATTTAAACAAGGCCACGCTACGGTTACCACCCACTCCGAATCTCGTTGCTAGTCCGGTCCTTTCATTTTTTGTGTTCGTGTTTCGGTCGCGGGATTCACGGCATCGTGAGTTAAAACAGAAATAACAGTCGCAAGAGAGCAGGGCGACAATACGCGGACACTGGAAACAAACATTTACCCGGCTCTCGAGACCCCGGCACCACGTGCCAATTTGCAAAGTTTGTGGTGGCGCCGAGATGATTTTAATTGTTAACTGCAG